GTAGGCATGTGTGGTTAGCATGCCAGCAAGTGTAATTCCGGAGTAGGGTATAGCGGTGTGAATGGCCTCCTGAGAGGCACTGGTTCAAAGCTCCCACTAACAGCACCAGAGGTTGGGGGCTGGCTCCCTACAGCCCCATCAGCCCACTTGTGTGTTTTTCTGCCTGTGGCTTCTTTTCATCCCCCTGGAGACTAGAATATTCCTTTGAGAGATGGCCTACCTCCAGTGAGTGTGGGACAGGACGTTGGGGCAGAAGACATTTTCAGAACCCTGCTTGGGCCCACCCCAGGCATTCCATGAGCTCCACCAAGTCACGCCATCCTCCTGAAGGTCTCTGTGCGGGAAGCCGGCCCTGCCCAAGTCACACAGTTGGGGAGAGGCTGCGTCAACTAACAACAGCCACAGTCGTGCTGTGTAACAAACATCCACGAACCCTCGGCATATGACGGTAACCCTTTATTTAGCCCACAAATCTGTCCCTGCCCTACTTCCTAGAATAGCCCTTCACTTCCTCCTGGTTGTGCCCTCTGTCACAGGACACATCTCACACATCCCAGATTCAGACACGTTCCGGGGCCGTAGGAAGTTCACTGGCGTCAACAGAACAAGGCAGATGGCGGTTTATCCCTGCTGCTGGCCTTTGCCCAACCCGGGCTAATGACCAACCCTCTGAGTGCCACTCAGCCAGAGGAGGCTGCAGCACTCCAAGGCACTGTGATACTGCTCCATGGGGTGTGGGGCCGGATCCTCCCTTTTTAGAAGAAGCCATAAGTCTGGGTTTCTATTGGCAACATCGGATGAGCTGACATTTGTAGAGCTCTCAGACAGGTGCCAGGCACATAGCTGATGCTGTAGAAGTGTTCAAATAGATGGATGAATAGATGGGTGGTTAGATAGGTAGGTAGGTAGGTAGGTAGCTAGCTAGCTAGATCTTTGAAAAGTCGGCAAAAAAAATTTTAAGCCACTGTACAGACAAAATCAAGCCTTTTCACAGGCCACATGTGACCAGAAGGCTGCCAGTTCTTGGCCTCAGATACAGGAGAAGTGCCCTGTTACCTGGGACAGCCCTTGGAGGAAAGAGTGGGTATGTGGCATGTGGCCTCCCACTGACAGAAGGCACCAATGAGGATGCCCCCACCCCCTAAACTCCCAGCCCTCCCTGCTCCCCCATCCCTCTGGGCAGGGAGGGGAGGGTAGGAGAGGGCAAAGGAGAAAAAGCACAGAGAGAACGTGAATCGCCTTGTCTTCATCACGGTTTCTCTGCTGCTGTACTTAAGAGATTCAAAGAGCCTCCCAATGTGCCCACCTCCACCACCACCACCTACTGGCAGCGCCCTGGGTCAGGAGTTGCTATGGCTTTCTTGAGCCCCTAATAACTTTCCAGTCCCCATTCTCTCCTCCCTGAATATGTCTGGCCATCTCACTGAGCCCTCCAAGGGCACCCCAGTGTGAGTGTAACACGGTGTCTGCCTGGCTTTGAAATCCAGCTGTGTGAACAAGTTACTTTCCCTCCTCGCACACCGGTTTCCTCACCCATGAAATGGGGGTAATTACAGCATCTCCCAGGGTTGCTGGAGGACTCAGGAGATTGTGCTGTGAGGTGATTAGAACAATGCAATAAAAGTGCTGATCCACTGTGACACTCAATAAACATCAACCAGTCACAGCTAAAACTCAAGTCTGAGCACTCTTCGGCGTAAACACCTGTGTGGCTCCCATCACCTGTGGATAGAGACTGGGCTCCCTGGCTTGGCATTCCCGGCCCTGCCTGACCTAAGCCACGTTCTCTCTCCCTGCTCCCGGGTGGACAGAGGTTCCAGCCATGAGACGTACACATCGTACTCTGAATGGCGGTG